TCTTCCTTCTCCCCGTTCGCTCCTCTTTCTTCTCCCTATCTCTTTTTCGGCTACTCTTTAAAATGAAGAGAAATCTTAAATTTTTTTCTTTTTATACCCATTCACCCTGACCGTTGGATCTCGCTAGCTTGATCTGGGTCGTCCGTTCTTCATTAAATCTCAGCTATTTGAATTTTTTAGATGGTTCGATCTGGGCCATCCATTTTTTTATTTTCTTTACCCTTTTTATTTTTTCTTATTTATACTTTTATCCCCCCTTTTCTCATTTATTTAATTTAAGTTCTAATTCTATTTTTTTTTATTTTCTTAGGTAGATATTACAATTTTGGTCTTGAAAGACTCTTTCGACGAAATTGGAGAGAAAGTCTCTTTATAATCAATGTCTTCTTTTTGTGTAAAGCCCTTATCGATAAGACGAGACTTGTACCTCTCCACATTATCTTTCGAATCCTTCTTGATCTTAAATATCCATCTGCAACTAATAGGTTTCGCATCCTTAGGCAATGAGACAAGATCCCAAATGTCATTGTCCTTCATGAACTTTATCTCTTCATTTATGACATCAATCCACTTGTAAGAGTTAGAACTTTTTATGACTTGACGGAAGTTGATATGATCATCTTCCATCGTGCCAATGTCAAACTCATGTTCTTGGAGATATACAATATAATCGTCTGGTATTGTACTTCTCATCTCCTTATGGATTTCCTTAATGACATAAGTCCTTGAGAGTGTGAAGTTTATGCTTGAGAAACACTTTTCTGAATAGGAATATGAGATACTATGACATTGTCTTGATTTGAAGTTGCTTCTTGAACAATCCTAAGTATAAGAATCTGATTCTGATCATTGTCAAGAATACTTAAGAGAATAGGAATATTGACTCATTCCTCTTTAAAAACAAGGTTGCGAACTCTTTCTCCCCTCGTAAACTCAATATCCTCAAAGAACTAGACATTTTTCATCTAAAAAATTATCTTAGTAGTGGGATCATAAAACTTATAACCCCTAAATCGCTCAAAATAACCAACAAAATAGCAACTAACAGTATTAGAGTCCAGTTTCTTTTCCTATGGCCTATAAGGCCTAGCCTTAGCTGGACATTCCCAAATGTGCAAATGTCTCAAACTAGACTACTTGCCCGTTCAAAGCTCATAAGGGGTCTTTGTAGTTGTTTTAGTTGAAATTGTATTGAGTAAATATGTTGCGGTCTTTAATGCTTCTCCCCAGAGTGATTCAGGTAAGGTAGAATGACTAATAATACTCCTTACCACATCTTTAAGTGTTCTATTTCACCTTTCAACAACATCATTCATGCCAAGAGAACCTGATATGATGTGCTGTAGGACGATACTGCATTCCTTTAAGAATCGAACAAATGACCCTGGACGTTGTTCACCTGATCTGTCAGATCTACCATAGTATTCACTAGCATAGTAAGATCTAACAGGCTTAATTCTTTTATTGAGTTGATTCTCAACTTCTGCTTTAAAACTTTTGAATACATCCAGAGACTAGGATTTCTTATAAATGAGATATGGGTAGTCATAACTTGAATAATTATCTATGAATATTATGAAATATTGTTGACCATTCCAAGAAGTTGTAAGGAAGGATCCACAAATATCTGTATGAATGAGTTCTAATACGTCTATAGCTCTGTTGGAACTTAATCTCTTAATGTTCGTCTGTTTCCTCATTGATACAATGAACACATCTATCAAAATCTGAAAAATCAAAGGGATCTAGAATTCTGTCTAATAAAAGTCTCTCAATTCTCCTTTGGGAGATGTGACCAAATTTCTTGTGCCATAAAGAAGCAGAATCCTCCTTAGTTAATTTTTTCTTTATATCTCTTGTACCAATATGCAAGGTTAATTATAAGAAGCAATTGTATCAAGTAAATAAAGATTACCATGCGCTGATAAAGAACTAGAACCAACCAGATTTGAATTAAGAAAAAAATTAAATTTTTTATTTTTAAATGAACATAAACAACCAAATTTGTCCAATACATCAACTGAAATGACATTCGTATAAATGAGGGTACAATAAAAGTCTTTTCTAAATCCAAATAAAATTCAGTTCTTAACAATAATCTAAATTTGTCAATTGCTACCACCTCGACTAGTTTTTAATCGCCCACATAAATGAATTTGGCACCATCACTTGGCTTGCGGTAATGGAGGCAGCCCTGCATAGACACACTAATGTGAGTTGTGGCACCAGAATCTATCCATTAGGTGTGTGTAGGTACAGAAGTTAAATTAACCTTAGAACAAATAAAATTAAGAAGCATACATTTTTTAGTACGCCACACATGATAGTTAGCACACGTCTTATTCTGTTGTCCCGGTCTACAGAAAAAAAAAAAATTTGTCTGAACATTTTGTTGCTTTTTCTGTTGTACTGGAACCGCAATGCATTTACCTATTTTTTTCTTGTTCTTCTTATTATTTAAGATCACTGCTAAAGAAGTACTCTCTGTCCTCTCAGACTTGAGCATCTCCTCATTTTGAACACAATGTGAAATGAGTTCATTCAGATTTCAAGATTCTTTCTGACAGTTGTATGTCACCTTAAAATGATTAACCTGTAGTGGAAAAGAAATCAACATAAAGTACACAAGTACTTTTTCTGACAATTCCAATTTAAGTGTTTTGAGCTTTGCATGCACATGTGACATCTCTATTATATACTCTTTAATGTTTCTATTTCCTTTATACCTCATGAAAATAAGAGTCGACAGAAGTGTACATGCCTCGACCTTATCATTTACGACGAAATGTTGTTCTAAAGAATGAAGAAAATCTCTAACTGTTGTGATATCATCGGATATAGTGCCCCAAAAAATCTTTGAAATGGTCTGTTCTATAACCAACATACTCATACAGTTTGACCGATCCCATCTTTTAAACTCATTCTTTTCCTCATGGGTAATATCAAGAGTAATCAAATTAGGTTGATCAACCCGTAAAGCCCAATCCAGATCCATAAGTCCAAGAACAAGTCGAACACTGTTCTTTTATTACTTAAAATTTATACCATTCATCATTAGGATGTAATTAACATTTACGGAGATATTTCTAGCAGAAAAGAAAGCTGAATAGAGGACATATAAAAATAAATTAATTAATACTCATATAAAGTTATAAATTATAAAATTTAATAATGAATTTTAAATAAAGATATATTTTCATATCAAAATATCGAGTACTCAATTAACACCCTATCTTTAGATAAAATATTAACTTGTAAGTAGTACCCTGTAACAATAATTAAATATAGATAATAGAAACACATCAAACAATAAATATTTCTTTGGGTTGATTTAAAGTTTACATGTCGTATTGAATAATTGTCACATATTCATTACCTCAAAAATAGAATGTAATAATATTAAATATTAATCTTCATTTAGGCCGATTAATATTTACATAAATTATATTCATACAACTATTTACATTATAAAATAAATAAATTATCTACAAGAGATGTCAATTTGGTGATATGTTGTGTAATTAAATTATTTCAATATATAAATTCACATATAAATATTAAAATTCAAAATCAAAACCAAATTTAAATTGAGTTAGAAAGAAATTAAAACCAAATTTTTTAATTAAAAAGTTGACCATTGACCGTTGCGGTCAACATCTATCGGGTCTGGACCCAACTCGGCCCAGACCCAAACGGGTATGGGTTTTAGGCATCCGAATGAGCTCTCATTTTCCCTTAATTTTTTGCTTTTCTTTTATTCTTATGGACCAAGCCCACATTAATAAATGTAAAAACAGAAAATTAAACAGTAAATTAAACATATGCAGCCTGTAATGGCTGTTTCTTTTTTTTTTTTCTTGCTTCATATATATATATATATATATACATACATGCTTAAAATATATTTATATATACATATACAAAACTTAACTTCTTAATATATATATATAAATATATTTCTTAATTTTCTGTATATATTTTCAATAAAACAAAATAGAATCCAAATCTAAAATTCTGATTCTGAATCTAAAATTACATAATAACATAAAAAAAAAATTCAAAAAATTCAATACGAGAAATAACTCTAATACCAATTTCTTTTTAAATTTGTAGATATGTAAAAATTAAATATACATTCTTATACTGAATTAAAGAGAAATAAAAGCAGAAACGTACCTGAATCCATCGCAGAAGATTTATTCGCGTTTGGCGGTAGGATCTTCTAAATCCACATAATGCTTTAAAACTAGTTTTTTTTTTTTATATATATATTTTTTTATTTTTTTTATTTTTTTAATGACAAGATTTCAATAAAATAAAATGACAATCTTATAATTCGGGGACTATAATTACCTTTTATATCAACTAAATTTTGCAATTTCCATTTCATCCATAATAAAATGAGAATATTATAAAAAAAATATTTGCACATTAGAAGCTCATACTCAAATTTGATACATTAAGACCCAATATTATTTAACCATATTTGTTAACTTTTAAACGAGCTCATTAAAATGATACCCTGATACGTATACCAAAATTCACATTAAGCCCACAGGTTAGAAAAAATCCAACACTTCTATATCAAGGTAGTGTAAGAGACGAAGCTTCCTCGAATGCAAACCTAAAAGTATGATTTGGTTAAGCCGATGGGAGGTTTTGGAAAAGATTCTTAATTTAATTCAATTGAGAGAGAAAGAATACAAAAGATTCTTAATAGAAAGAGTAAATATCATGCATACTCGTACTTATCATATCAGGAAGATACCTTTAATGAATCTAATATATTGAAATAGTAATATAAGTGATTGAAAGAATTAGCATTTATCATTTTTATTTTATTGATAGTATTTTTTAGATAAACAATAAATATAAACTCAATTCAAAACTATAATAATTCTTATATATAAGATATTATGATGTAAAATGATATAATATCATATGTCAAAAATATACTTACAACATATAAAGATTAGCTAAAAATTAAAACCACGACTATAATGGCGAAGCACATGGTTTCAATAAGCTCAAAACAAGGAAGTTATTAAAGTTAAGATCATAATTTTTTTGAGTTTTTTTTTTCTTCATAAATAATTTTATGTAATTTTGCAAAAAGAAAAAAATTCAATAGAAATATATCAACTAAAATAAAATTTGAAACAAATTAAATTTTATCAACTTAGAATTACTAGAAGTCACATTCATGATTGCCACCAACATTATTCTAAATAAAACTCAGAAAATCTACATATTCTCATTTAAAAAAAAAAATCAAACAAAAGGTTCCATTTTAAAATTGTATTATTAACAAATAAATTTCACAATATATATAAAATTTATTTACAAAATTATCTAACTATATTAACATTATTAATAAAATGAGCTTATACATTATACTTACAATTGGTTTATTCTGAAAATGACATAAAATTCTCATATAATCTTCATATTACTTGAAATTGAAAAGACACCAGTTTATCTTTTGATGGATTGGTAAAGAGCATTTGATTTGATTTGATTTGATGAGTAGATTCAGCAGTCCTGTGATTAATTTTAGCCAAGGCTCTAGCTGAAAGTCAACATGGTGTGTTTATTAGTTGAAACCTCATAGTCAACATGGTTTGCGAGTCAAACATAGTCAACTTTGTGGATAATTCATACAGCCAAACCTAGACAGACACTCTTTGATAAGATTGTTTCATGTATGATGTATCCATATACTATACTCTTCTTAGGTAGAAATTTTTACCATGAGTATGGAGGAGACCCCATATAAAAATTACTTGTATCGAGCACATATATAACTTTGATATATTATTGTTAATTTGTTGAAGGGTAGGTGAAGAAATTTTGAACTGTACATTACCGACTTCAACTTGGCCCTCTATATACTGCCCATATGTTAATTTTCAAATTTCAACAACGTACGCTGCAATTCTTCTTGCATGGTAATTGGAAATATGAGCGTATCAGAGAGTAGCAAGGGGAAGGGGGGCGGTTCTGATTATTGGAGCAACTGGCTTCATCGGTCGATTCATAGCGGAAGCAAGCCTTGAATCTGGTCGACCTACTTATTTACTGGTCCGGTCATTGCCCTTAGCTCTTCTTCTTCCAAGGCCAATGCTATCAACTCTCTGCAACACAAAGGAGCCATTGTACTACATGTAAAAATACAATTTCTAGCTCTTTCTGTTAATATTTCTTTAATGGTAACTTACATGTTTTACTCATTCTAATTGAATAAATTATATAGCATTTAAATTTGTCATGTTTTTGACGGTTTAATTAAATTGTATCAGGGAATGATAAATGAGAAGGAGGCAATGGAGAAAATGCTTAGAGAAAACGAGATTGAGGTGGTGATTTCAGCAGTTGGTGGTAGAGACTTGAAGGACCAAGTCGGATTGGTGCAGGCCATTAAAGCTGTTGGCACCATCAAGGTTTAATTTTGCAGTTAGCTAATTAACCAGCCTCTAATTAATTCTATTTTATTTTATAATATATGCTTTTTTAGAGCTAATCAACCATTTGTCAATATCCAATGAACTCATTCTATTATTCCTAAAAATTTAAAAGAAAAATATTAAAGTAATTTCATATTTGTAACATTAATCATAAATATTAACTTTTTAATCTTTATTCAGTACCTAAAAGAATATTAATTTTGTAAAAATTATAATATAAACGGGTAAAGCACTAATACTCTAAGTAGAGTTAATTAATATTTTGAACTTGACCGTACAATATTCATATATACTACCCGAAGACAAAGACTCATTTTTACTCTCCTATTTCTTTATTATACTTATGGTCTTATATTTTTTTCAATATCAATTTACTTTTAAGTTTTTTACTTATTTTGAATATTTACTGTCTAATATTTTTTTTTATAAAAAAAATTAACAATTTGTTTTTTTTTTAATTGATTTAGTATTTATTTATTCATAATCAATTAATTAATTAAAATAGTTACTTAAAAATTTGGGAATAATTGAATGTAATTTCCCCAGAGGTTTTTGCCCTCAGAATTTGGGCACGACGTGGATAGAGCTGACCCGATTGAGCCAGCGCTAACGGCATACAAGGAGAAGCGTAAAATTAGACGTTTGATTGAGGACTTGGGTGTGCCCCACACGTACATCTGTTGCAATTCTATTGCCGCATGGCCCTACCATGACAAGACGCACGATGCTCTTCCACCGTTGGATCAATTTCAGATCTACGGTGATGGCTCCGTCAAAGGTAAGCAACTATTTTATTTGTCTTCCCAAACTAATATTTATTCTTCAAATATTATTTTCGGTAATTATCATAAAATCATTATATTTACGCGATCGCATACATATATTCTTTTTCCTAAACGGAAAAAGGTAATAATATTTTCATACATATATAAAACAAAGCAAATGAAGTAGTCACCCAAGTTTTGAATCATGAGTCTAAATTATGTAAGAACGCAAGTTTTTATGTATATTCATATATATTCTAACTTCTCTTGCAAATACCTATATATATATGTATATAAAAGTTTTCATAACTCGCATACTTATACTTAATAATGTGATTTAATTTTAAATTTATTAACAAACTATATTGGTTGAAAATGCTCATATTTGCATACATATCATGATTTTGTGCATGCATGTGTATGTATATTGAAAAATATATTTATGATTTATTGTTTTCTAAATAATTTATAATTATTTTAGTTTATCAAGTAGATTGATTAATAAATATTATTTTTATTGCAGCATATTTTGTTACTGGTAATGATATTGGAAAATTCACCATTAAAATTGTTGATGACGTTCGAACCTTGAACAAGCGTGTTCATTTTAGGCCAACCTGCAATTTTTACGACATAAAGGAGCTTGCATGTTTATGGGAAACCAAAATTGGACGTACTCTTCCTAGGATTACCATTACTGAAAATGATATTTTACTTGTAGCTGCAGGTTAGTTCATTCTATACCTACATACATTTATTAATTTTATATTTTTTTTAGATTTATAAAAGTGCAGGTAAACTATATGAAATCTTTATAATATGGTTCTAATGACAAATGTGTTCATTTTAAAAAAAGTTAATCAATAAAATCTTACAAAAAAAAAAAAATCAAATTGCTTTCGAGTGTAAATGAAAGATTTGTTTTCTTTTTTTCCCTCTAACAGAGATAAAGATCCATACAAAACATAAACTTCTTTTTCTTTCTCTCATTTTTAATATTTTTTTGTCTTATATTTTTGGATCGTAGAAAATTCTATGCCGAGAAGTATTATCGCAGCATTAACCCACGATATATTTTTTAAGGGATGCCAAGTTAATTTCAAAATTGACGGTGGTGAAGATGTCGAATTAAGCAGTTTGTATCCACATGAGTCATTCCAAACACTCGATGGAAGCTTTACTGATTTTGCTGCAGAGCTAAATATCAAATCAGTAGTTAAATAAATAATTAATTAGATTATGATAATCCATATTAATTATTTATATAAAAATGATTAGTATATTTTTCATTATGTGTCATGAAACTTATTCTATCTTTTTTTATTATATTATAAGATATTAATAATAAAAATATCATTTTATGTTTATTTATGTGTTTTCAATCAATGTCCACATAAATAAAATTTGATGACAGACTGCATATTTCTCTATCAACCCTGTGTTGTTGTAGATGGAGTATAAAAGGATTTGGAATAAGTTGACTGAGACTTAGTACGAACACCTTCTAGGATATTAACAGCTATTGTAAGTGCATTAGAAAAGGCCACAACTGGCCTATTAGCTCAGTTGGTTAGAGCGTCGTGCTAATAACGCGAAGGTCGCAGGTTCGAGACCTGCATGGGCCATTTAATAACAATATCTATTTTATTTTTTAACAGGCTTGTGAAAACAGTTTGGGCTAAACTTGGAATAAAGAAAAAAAATAAAAATAAAATGGGCTTAAATTAGATTAGATATTGGATTTGGTGTAATGGAAAATAGACTAAATCGAGTTCAAATCAAATAAACCTCAAATTAGTTTATTAATTATTTAAAACTATAATTTTAATATGTTTATTTAAAATAAAATACAAAATTGTCGGATAAAAATTAAAATAATTTTTTTTTTCTTTTTATTTGAAATTCTATAAAAAAAAAGAAAAAAGTATAAATTGAAAAAATTATGATGTTGTCTTCGTGAAAAATGAAGAATTTTCTTTTCTTCATTCCTTCTTGCTCTTTCTTTTTCTTTTTCTTAAAAAAAAAAAATACTGAATGCATTTCTGAGTCATATTTTTAAGATAAAAAATTAAAAATAAATTTTTTTTCTATTACAATATTTAACACGATAACAAAAAAGATAGAAACACTTAAAATTTTCTATTGTTTAAGTAAATATCAAAAAAAAATTTTTTGAAAAAAGAAAACAATAGATGCCAAATCTTTCTTATTTTCAGCAATTATGTATCTTACATATTTTATTATCGCAAATCCATAGATGACCTTAATTAATATAATCATACATATTAGATATTAAGTATAATTATATATATATATATATATATATATATACAAATTCAAAGATTTAGCATTTTGTTGCTTGATTTAACGAGAAAAGGAAATTAAAAAAAAGGTGAAAAGAAAAACAAAAATCATTTCCTTCCCATTGTAAATTCAATGTCTTCACACTGTAGAACGTAAAGCAACAAGAAAATCAATGTCTTCCCTTTTCTTTTTTCTTTAATGGGATACGACACATTTTCAATTCAATTGTTTGAGTGCTTGTCTTACTTATTACATTTTCAACTTTCTCTTATTCTTATTCTCTAAACTTGGTTCTCATTTATATTTATAGTATTTGGCTTAAGGTTCCTAACATGTTTTTGGGTGATTCTATTATCTCTTTTTGTATTCGATAATAGAAACAATTTTTTATTTGTCAAACCGTACTTACACACACACATATATAACTAGAGATAACCAAGAGATGTTCAACCAACCTTACATTGTTTCTCATCTTTCATCATTGATATCTATCAAAAGTTACAATCAAATTTCAATCTAAAATTCTTGCAAATATATTATTAATTAAAATATTAACTCTAATATATACATATCTTCATATCTATTTATGCAAGTCTTGTAATCTCAAAAATAAAATAAAATGTTTAAGTGTAATATCCGGAATTAATTTTAATATATTTAAAGTTAATGTACAAATATAATTTTTAAATTTTTATTTAATATACAAATGAAGAAAAATAGGTGGAGGATGAAATTAAAAACAAATTTGGAAAAAATGGGCAAAAATTTGGGTTCTATAGGTGTTTTTGAAAGAAAAATAAAAAAATTAGGGGTCAAAACGTAATTTAGCAAAAATGTACCACGTAGGACGCTCAGTCAGAAGTCCCAACGAATTGGAGCGCGTTGCAGAGCAAGGCACGCTGGTGCGGTGCCATGCGGAAGGCCACGCTGGCAATTCGTGTGACCGCGATCGGACGGTCCATATTTGTTCCCGCGTGGGTCCGAGTTCGTTTATCCTTTAAACACGATCGTACGGTCTAGATCAAATTACAATGAATGATCCAGATTCACTTTTTATTTCAACGCGATCGAATGCCCAAGATCAAATTGCAATGAATAGTATAGATTCACTTCCTATTTAAACGCAATCAGACGATTTAGATCAAATGCGATGGATGGTTTAGATTAAAAGGAGATGGATATAAATAACCCACTTCACACTAAAACCTAACACTAGCCGCCAGACCTCCCGTCGGAGAAGAAGAACCAGTTGCCGGGAAAGAAGCCGACTGCCTCCCGCCGCCGTGCCGGAGTCACCTCCGATCGCCCAAAAAAATAAAATTTTTTCATTCGCTTGAAATTCGATTTTGAGCACTTCCATGGCCAAATCAGAGCAAAAGGACTGGCGGATGAGCCAGAAACAGCGGGTAAAGTCCGGCGACGCCGCCGCGGAAAAAATAAAAAATTACCTCTGATGAGGCCCTTTTTGATTCCCGTTTCGTGTAATTTTTTCACAATTGTATTCACTATTTTGTTTCCCACAGGTTAACCAAAGAAAAATGTCCAGCCGCAAAGGTGAGTCGGCGGAGCCGCCGCACCAGAAAACCCCGCCGCTGGTAAGCTTCTGTTTTTTAACTTTTTTCGGTCAATTGAGGTTCTTTAACGTGTTTTCTCACAGGAATAAGTACAAAACCGACTAAAATTGGCTGAAACTGGTTGAAAACAGCAAACTCAAGACAAACTGCCACCGCGAGTGACGGTGCCGTCATCGGAGCACGGCAGCGCCGTTATGTCGGAATCCCAAAATTGGCAAAAAAATGTTATAGCACTGATTTTTAGTTTTTTAGGGTATTTCTAGGTACCTGGAGCATGTTTTAATCTCCAAAAAAAAATTCAAGAAACCCAGGAACCGCCAGTAAGCAGTCAAAAGTTTAGTATTCGAACGCTTATTCGGGTAAGAATTCATCACCTTATTCCCTCTTATGGAATTGAAGTTTAATTATAAATAATGTGATATTTTGTACAATTTAGAGAATCTCGATAATTAATCACAGGTCACTAATAGAGTCGGAACTAGTTATTACTCATTGTTTATCCTATTTGATTGATTTTACAGTTTTTAATGTATGATAATATACTGGAGTTGGTAAGATGATTTAGTTATGTTTTCTTGATGCATATATTACTTGTTTTGCGTGATTTACAGTTAAATTGTGAAACTGAAAATTAAATGTAAACGAAAAATTATTTGATTAAGTGAGTAAATGAATGGTAGCTTTACTGGATATCCTGAGAGATAGTGGACAGATCGGGTACATAGGAAACCCTACCGTGAATGTTGCCTCATACCAGATAGGGTATGGAAGATTTGTACTTTAGCGCGAATACCAGATGAGGTATGAGAATGACCTGTTTCATCCTCATACCGAACGATGTATTGAAGGATGGTATTTTTGGCACTAATACCGGACGGAGTATGAGGACGACCGGTTAATGGAAAATGTTGAATAAGGGTTCACGCATTGTGGGGACATCCTTATGAACCCCCATGGATACTAGTAGGCAGATAAAAAAGAAATATTGTTGTTCTGGTTAATTGTAAATGAGATAATGAGATTGTTTGTGTCATTACCTCTATAGGTTAGTTTTGAAATTTTCGCTACGGTAAGTGTACAATAAATGATTTTACTTATAATAAATGAATTTACTTAAAATAAGAGGTCCATTAGTTGTTTTCATAATTTTTGCCAACGTTCATTTCTGTATCGGTGAGTAGTGTGACATTCTTGTTAGGCTAGTGTAGCTCACTCTTTCATTCCATTTCAAATCAAGAGGACAAAAATTCATATCCCGATCCACAAGAGGGTTGCGAGTAGGATGTTCAATTTGTCTACTTTTCATTTATTTCTTTGATTATTAGTTATTCTTTTAAAAATGATCATTCCCGTAACCCTATTAGATATTCTAAATTATTGTGTAAGGAATGTAAACCCTAACACCATTATTTTATTTCTGCACTTAATTTATAATTTAATTCATTTCAAGTTCCGAGTCGTTATAGTTAGTATCAGAGCCTCATTTCTCAGAACCATTCCTTACACAAAAAACCCTAGGAAATACCAAAGAATGAATTATCATTCAATCATTCCTTGTGAAATACAAGTACATATAAATGAAGAGAGGAAAACACCCACTAAACTGAGCAGCTCGGGAGGGTTCGCTTCGAGAGGATGTTGACTGATTGTTTGAAATGCTGAAGAGACTCATCGCTACCCAGCAGGCTTGGGAAGAAAGGAGGGAGCTACCTGACCTTTCATTACTACCACAAGTTGAGCCACCCCTGCAGCGGGAGGATCTTGAGCCACCTCAGTACGACCCTACTCCTCCACAGTACCATCCGCTGCCACCATAGTATGATCCAGTGTCCCAACCATAGTACTGCCTAGCACCACCACAGTATAGGCCGGTACCCCAATCGCATCACCCGACACCACCATAGTACAATCCGGTGCCTCCGCTGTATCGTCCAGTACCACTACATGGTCATCCAGTCCATCCCCAGCACAATCCAGTCCCTCTTCCGGACCCAGTTCCTCCCATGATAGACATAGTATACAATGAGAGTTATAAAAGACTAAATCCATCTACTTTTGCAGGGAGATTTTTCTTTGAAGAGGCCGAGTACTGGTTAGCTGAGATAGAGAAGGCTTTCACGACTCTTGGGGTGATTCTCAAACAGAGAGTTATATTTGCCACCTATATACTAGTGGGTGAGGCAGGCCGCTGGTGGCAATTCAAGCAGGCCACCTTGCCCGTTCCAGTCACTTGGAAAAATTTTTTGATGGCCTTTAATGCAGAATACCTCCTAGAGCATCTTCGACATCTGAAAGAAATGGAGTTTGCATACCTAGTATAGGGTGATATGACTGTCTCAGAATATG